ACCAGCGTTATCAAGTCGGATTGACTTAATGGGGTAAGCTCAGAACTGTGCTCACAACTTAATATTTGAGCAAGAAGTTTCACAAAAGCTACATTCTGAATAGACAAGAGACAAACATATGACCAGTAGATGCATCAACCAAAACCATAAAATATCGGAATGGTCCACAAGATGGTTGAATAGGCCCGCAAATATCCCCTTGAATTCTTTGCAAAAATGATGGGGATTCAACATCAACCTTTAGTTGTGATGGTCTAATTACCAACTTCCCTTGAGAACAAGCTTTGCAAGGGTTATCATTTCAGAAAACAATGTGTCTACTCAATAATGGATGTCCATTAGAGTTAGTAATGATCCTACGTATCATGGTAGATCTTGGGTGACCTAGACGGTCATGCCAAAACGTGTAAACTTTTGAATTAATGAACTTATGGTTCATGACAGTATGTGATTCAACTGTTTTTACAATCCACTCGTCAAACCATGTAACTTCTTCAATATATGCTTCTGGGTATCATTGGAGGTAATGTATATATACTCCACATTTTCTGCACTTTTCGTTTCAATGTCGTATCCATTTAAACGTATGTCTTTAAAACTTAACAAATTTTGAGTAGATTGAGTAGCGTACAACACATTCTGTATGGACAATATTGTTCCATTTGGTAACATAATTTGGGCTTTCCCTGAGCCTTCAATTACATCTAAAGGGTATGATATTGTTGTTAACCTTACTTTTGTAAGCATCAATCTTGAGAAATACTTTTGATCTCGAAGTATTGTATGAGTGGTTGCGCAGTCTGTAAGAGAAATATCTCCACCATTTCTTTTGTTTTGAGAAGGACCATAATGCTTATCCATGCTTTATCAAACATAAACGATTCAGTTGGACTGGTATACTTCATTCTCCTTTCCACAATAAAGTCCAAGACATCTAAGTGGGTTGTGTTCAACTGCCCTGATAAATCACTCACTGGATCAGGTACATTCATTGGTTTAGCCTGGTTGAGAAAATTGGTCTAACACCTTTCTCCTTGATGGAGGCTCGATATAGATCCACCAGATGTCTTGGGGTATGACAAGTACGCGCCCAGTGCCCATTGCCACCATACTTATGGCAGACTCTTTTAGAGTTTCTGGGAGCATTGCTCATATGAGCTTTGCCTTTGTGGCGATTCACATTTTTAAAGCTCGAGCCTGAATTATGCCTTGGAATCTGGTTATGAAACTGGACACCATGATTCTTGCCTTTCCTGTTCCACCGTCCTTGCCAGTGGCCACATCCTCATTTATGATTATTGCCACTAGAGGATGTGGCTTTCACTTCGAAGGAAACATCATTCACTTCTGGGAATGGTGCATATCCAGTAGGTCGGGACTGATGATTTTTCATCAGGAGCCCATTATTTTGTTCAGCTACCAGGAGCACAGATATCAGCTGATTGTATTCAGTGAAACCTCGCTTTCCAGCATATCTTCCTCAGTGATGGTTTCCCCACAGAGTTTCATCTGGGAACTAATTCTGAACATCGCAGAATTGTACTCAACCACTGACTCGAAATCTTGGATCCTTAGGTAAGTCCACTCATAACAAGCTCTTGGAAGAATCACCATTTTCTGGTGATTGTATTTGTTTCTCAATGCCTTCCAGAGAGTTAATGGATCTTTAACCGTTAAGTACTCGCTCTTTAGTCCTTCATCAAGGTGGTGACAGATAAAGATCATGGCATTCGCCCGATCTTGATGCACTGTTCTCTTAGTATCCACTACCCAGGTAAGGTAGTTCTTCCCAGTAATATCTAGAGCAACAAAATCAAGCTTTGCCAAGTTCGCCATTTTCTTTTCTGAAAGAAAACTTAGATGTGTAAGAACTTGCAATAATATGTATTCTGGAGGTATGTAGTGTTAGAACTTCTGGTTCTTACGAATTTTTCATTTTGATCTTCAGGCCAAAGTGATAAGCACTCGAAAATTCAGGGTCGAGATTTTCAAGGTGAATGAGGAGGGCGATTGTACCACACCATTCTCATTGAAATAACATTACATAGGATGGGCGATTATTCCGCACCACTGAAGTAGCAGGAAAATTTAAATACGCATAGCAGGGTAGGTGATTATACCGCACCACCTAAAATTGCAATGAAATTAAACAGTAGGTAAATTTAAATACGCATGGTAGGGTGGGCGATTATACCGCTCCATCTAAAATTTGTAGTAAAATTAGATTCGCAGTCCAAGATAGGCGATGATATCGCACCATCTTGGATTGCAGTAAGAGTAAATTTGCAGTTCAAGATGGGTGATTGTACCGCACCATTTTGGATTGCAATAAAATTAACATAAATAAACACTAAGTTAATAATCAAGATCTACACCAAACAAGAAATCAAAGATACATGTAACTGCTAGGTTGAGAACTAAAAGCAGACATGGTGCAAACAGTTTTGCTCGAGGGTATGTCCAGCAGTTGAGATAGAGGAAGAAGATGAACAGTAAAATCCTTAAAGGAAACTTTTTTTTTCTTTCGTTCTGCGAAGAGAAATGAGAAAATGGTTAGATTTTTAGAGAGTTGTGCTGATAACGTTTTATAAATAGGTAAAAGTTAGAGAGATAACCTTTACTAATGACAAGAGCGAAGCAGATGTAAAATATCACACTGTAATTATAACCCAAAGGGATGACAAATCAAAGAGGGAAGAATAGATACTGATGTCATTGATCTTTCCTTCTTTTTTTTTTTTGTATTTTGATAGCAGTCGGAGCGCTCTATTTACAAAGCAACTCTAAACGTATTAATTACACCCTTTGAAAAATATGATCTCCTTCATTTCCAAAGTCTATATTACTATGTGTGGGTATTGAAAAATCTGTGTGGGCATTCATTAATCTACCAACATTTTCAACATTGCCAATGTTTTCAATACAGCCAATGTTTTCAATAGTCCCACAATATTTTGTAAATTAATAATTTTTGATAGCCTAAACGTATTTCTTGTTGGAAATTATATATTATAATGTGAAATATTGTAATATATAATTTTAAAAATTGAATTAAGAATAGTGTTAACCGTATTTCTTAGAAATGTTATGTTATTTTGGTGTATTCCCTTGATAAATGATGTATATTTATAGATGAAAAGCTACATCTTTTTAATAAGGAGTAATTAGGTTCTATATAAACCCATGAAACCATGGGTATTAAATGAAAGAAAATTAGAGTTAATTTTTACTCTGGAGAAATAAGGTTTCCCCAATTTGTTTCTCTCATTCTTAGTTTGTTAAATTCCAAATCGTGTCTTGAGAGTACGGAATATAAAAAGTTTGCCAAAGTTTTAAAATTTAAGTGCTTTGACTTCGGATTATAAATTGTTGAATTTTAGAAGACGGACGCCTACCGAACCACAAGCACAAGAGTAGGGGCGAAATTCTGTCTTTAGGACATTGCATTTATGCAAGCCTCAATCTCCAAGCTTATCAGTATTTCTAACTTTCTCACTAGTTGTTTATATTAATCTCATACATAATTGATGTTGTGATTCTCTTTATGATTATTATTAAAATTTTATTATTATTTTCATATTTTCTAATATTGCTCCAACAGTCATTGAATAGATTTAGTCTACCATAACATGACAACTTAGAGCATGTGTTAGCAGTGAAATGAAAGGTAGGGCAAGGGCTGCTCAATTGCCCAAACATAAATAAAAAGAAGGTCCATCGATTAAATATATATGATATTTGTGAATATTAACGCTCTTGCTCTTGTCCTTCTTCTTTCCAAATGGATAGTCATTCGTCTTTTCTTTTCAAACGGATAGATTTGCACAAAAACAATTATTTAAAATAAATAGTAAGGACAATTTTACTGCCTTGCCTCTGTCCTTTAGGTGCTTTTAATAGATAGGCGTTGACAATAGAGCCACGTTTTTCTTGAAATGCATTGGAGCCCAATCAGCTATGAAACTTGTTCCCAAATGGATCAACGGATGATATTAAACCCTGAGTTCTCACACAAGACAATTTTGTCGATAAAAAAAAGGGGTAAAGCGACATGATCTCAAGCATTCTTTATGCGATTTATATAGTTTCGGAACAGATTAAGCTCTGTTACTCTGATTACTAGAAAGAAGAGGTACCTTCTTTAGGGTTTATTGGATAAAGCTTGACCATGTACTCTCTTCCTCTTTCTCCTTCTCTTTCTATGTACCTGGTCATTATAGTTGGTTTATTTATAGGACATTAAGGTTGATTTATTTTGTGTGGCTTATTCATGTGGTAATTTGGTGAAAGTTAATTTGTGAGATTGTGAGTTAGAGAGCAATTTGGGAGAATCTTCTCCATTTGTTTTGGGTTATCTACTTGTTTGGTTTAAGGTTTGTAATTTGTGGGATTTGAGTTATGAGAGTTTAAACACTTTTTTGTAATCTCTGTTTGTTTAGTGAAATTCCTTGCTATGCTTCACCTGTGGTTGTAGGCTTTACGTCAAACCACGTTGAATCTCTTTTGTTCTTTTGAGATTGTTTCTAGCTTTCATATACGATATTGATATTTGGTACTTACTTAGAATTCGTTTCTGTTTGTGCATAAAAGTACAACAAGAACTACACTTATTCTTGGAGATATATATCCTATTTGGATTCAACCAACTGGACTTTGCCTAGTCTGCAAATGTGCGCAAGTTTGGTTCCAATAGAAACATTTAACCGCTTACAATTAACTGTTTAGTGGAGACCCCAAGCTAACAATGCTCCCCGCTTTATGAGAGTTGGGGAGGGGAACGTTTATCGTACGCAGTTTTACCCTTACTTTCAAAGAGACTGATTTCACGACTCAAACTCGTGACCTTTTGGTCACAAAAAAACAATTTTCTGTTGCGCCAAAACTCACTCTCTTGCAATTAACCATTTATTTTAGAATTGGGCTCCACTCATGCAAGATAAATAAATTTCATGGTTAATTAACTAAATAGATAGGTTCGATAAAAAAAAAAAAAGAAAAGAAAAGAAAACTAAATAGATAGGATCTAGGCAAAATATAACAAAAATCGAGTTGTAGGGATTGTGGCGAATTTGAATCTGAGTTCGAGTAGGAAAAGTGACATAAAAGTCGAGTTTCGTGTGGTAGAAACTTTTTCATTTCCTATTCTTCTCCTTCAACCTCCATCAATCTTTGGTCTGCAATCGAAGAAGAAAACACCAGAGAAACTGACCCCCTTCATCTCCTCGGCTGATTCGCAACCTGTTCGCAGGCAATCATCAAATTCGAATAAATCCCATTTTCGGAATCAAAATCCAGTAAACAAAGAGAACCCAATTCCTGATTTTAGCTGCGGGAGACTGACGAACGATTCAATTGGAATTTGTTTGGGCGAATTAAAAGGTTAGACTTTGAACACTTTCTATTTATTCTTTACAATTGGGTATTGGAATTTTGAATGGGATGGGATTGGATGTATGATGTGTTTAGTTTTGTACAGCTTGAAATGTTCCTATTGTTTTTGTTCATGTAACTCTGGTTCATTGTTCATTGTGGGATGAGATTTGGGATCCATTTCTTTGTTTCGGTTTTCGCATATCGAAGTTTCGAGAGCTATTCGATAAGAGTCAGGCCTGTTCAGGGTCAGGTTTTATAACTCAAACCATTTCCAATAGCTGTTTGATAATAGGACGTTTAGATAAAAAAACAAAGCATAGAGATCATTTACTAAAAAGTGAAGGTTTCATGGGTGTTGGTTGAGTGTTGAATCGTTTGTTGTTTTATGTTTGTTCAATGGTGTAGGATTTTCGGATGAGAATCAGTAAAACAGAGGTGAATTTGAAGAGGCTGCTTGCGGCTGCGCCTCAGCAACAGAACCAGGCAAAACTTGTACATGTATGTTGTTATTAGAATTATAGGTTACAAAGTTTTATCCATTTGCAGGTAATTGCTTTGTGCCAACCATTTCCGGTTTCTCGGCATGATATTTACAGTTCTAGTTTTTTTTTTTTTTGTGTGTTTTGACTAACTATTGCTACTTTGCAGTATGTTGCTACTTTACGAGAACTGGTAGAACAACTAGCTGAAGAGAGAACTCCTGAAGGCTTACCAAGGTCAGTATGTGTTTTATTTTCTCCCTTGATTTACTTTTGTTTAACGATTATTTGTTCAATAGTTTGATGCATGTTCCAATATGCTTCCTTTCTTTTACCTTAACAAACCATTACAGATTTTGGTAGGTATGATGGAAATATTGATTCACATTCCGAACACTATTTTCTTGATACGGGGTACTAGTGGTGGCAACACAGATCAGCATTTTCATCTTCTCTATTTCTATGTATTTTCTTGATACTGTGTCCTACTTAAGAGTTTGCAACATTCTTAGTTTACTAATTGATATCATTATCTTCAATTTTATACCCAGAGTTTCAAAGGCTGTTTTGAGTGACTATTCAGAGAAGATTGAAGCCATTGCTTCCAAATTAGCTGCTCCACCAGTGCGTGCATATGATCTAGAAAGCATACACGTTGCCTTTTTTTTGAAGTGTTGGTTTTATGTACTTTAAACCAGTTACATTGGCAAAATGTGTACTTTAATTTACAATGTTCTGTGAATTTCTATGATTCGAATCAATTTTACTAATGGTAGATTTAGTTTGAAAGCCGGGAAATTATAATGATAAGGTATGAGAAACAAAATATTGTTAGGCTGAAACAAATTTCTTGGGAGATTGGTTGACATGACAACTAAAATATTACAGGTTTTTTTTCTCAGCTGTGATGGATGGTTGGACAGCTTTTAGTTCTTATGCGGGGAACAATTTCTAGAGATAGTTTATAGTTCAAGTGCCCACGCCATTTCATGCTACATGTAATTTGTTGTCAGTTCTTGGCATCTCAAGAGTGAATCTCTAATATATGGATAATGTTCTATTGCTAGATATCTGACATGGTATATCGAATATTGTGAATCTGGCATAGTATACCTGATTAACAGTTTGGCAAGCAAATATTTCTTTAGAATGTAATGTAATGTTTGTTTTTTGGTCGAAGAATGTAATGTATATATGTGCAATATATGGAGTTCCTTGCTCCTAACTGTGATTTCTTTCGCCAATTCCCAGCCTGATATTCAAACACCCGAAGAGCCCCTTGCAAGAATTTCTGTCAAAGCAAACTCTTCTGATACAAGAGACAATCAGATTCCCCCTTCTCCAGGTTTGAGAAGGAGATTTGTGTAAGTGAATGATAGTTGGCATCACTATGGTTTCAGCTCCTTCTTAGTGATATTTTGTCTGCAATAACTTGTTTTATTTTAACTATGTTTTTGTTAAACAGGCCTATCTCAAGTACTGAAGATGGAACTTGTGAGACTGCTGGTGTTGATTCTTCAGGGCCTGTCAAACTGGATGCTGCAGCCCAAGCACACATTGAAAAGCATAGGTATATTCACAGTATCTCAATTTTTTTCTATTAAACTGGAGTCATGAGACTGGATGAAATTGAAAACGGGAGTTCTAGGATGTCAGTCATTAATTAACACAGCGATGCAGTTATATGTGTTTTCAATATGAAGTTACTTTTGTTCTAGTAAAAATAGAAGTTGATTTTTGCTTAAAAAAATGCATATGGTTTTCGTACAAATAGAAAGGACACGGATGCTCACTTGGGACATCAGATAAATTTAGAACAATAATCAGGCAACTTTGGGATGTGTTCCTTCATTCTGTACAATTTCTTGCTTTACTTTGATGGTAACAAAGACAAGACGCTACCCAAAGATAAATCTTGGCCTACAGACCCCAGCCTCTCTGTTATTCAGAGTGCTTAAGGAATTAGGAGGACCATACCCTAGTCCATGGCCAACCCATGTCTTTCCTGCCATCTCTAAGATCCCTCTGCATGTTTGTACACCATTGCCAACAGATGGTGCTTGAATAACGTGACCTTGAACCAGATAACCTTACATCAGAGTAGATACAGTTACTATTAGATAGAAAATTTGCTCAATCCCAAGTCAATTGATGTCCATAAAGTAGAACACACGCAATTCAGCCGTTAAGACTTTCAAATGTTAATTACTTTCCTTTCCACATTATGTTTTCGATTCTTATAAACTTTTATCTCTTGTTTACAGAAAGCTTCAAGAGGATTTGACGGACGAAATGGTTGGATTGGCGAGGCAGCTCAAAGAGAGTAGTCTCATGATGAGTCACTCCCTGGAAAACACTGAAAAAGTAAGTACCCTGAAATATCTATTGCAGGATGTTGTAATGTCTATAGAGTCAATACTTTTTGGATTTAGCTGGCTGTGGTTTGATTTGTTTAGGGCGACACTGAAGGGAAGTTTTGGTGAATATTGCTTTGGATTTAGAGGGTGTGAGATTAGGAGAAATTCTTGAAAAGGAAAATGTTAAACAAAGAAACGAATGTTGGGACTGTAATGAGTTCCTAAGAGACGGGCTAAAAATAAAAAAAATAAAAAAATAAAAAAAATCTGCCGAGGAATTTAAGTGGTAACAGGAGAACTGCTTTAATTTTTGTCGAGAAATAGTTTACAGTAAAGGGGTTTGGGGAGGCTTGCAATAGGAAAAGAAGGATACGCTGCTGAGTATCTTTTATAGGATCTCTGAAAAATTTGGAACACAATATGTATTCCTATATAAGCTGTTGACTGTGCTAGTCATGATTGTAATAGAACGTACGTTGTCACAAGCGAAAACCCTTTTATCATCAGATATATGACGATCATCGGAAAATGTTCCCAGCAATAATGCAACATCGATTGTTGCATAAAAAACTTTTATCTATTTACTCTTTGGTGTGTCTTAGATGTAAATGGAGTGCTGATGGAATGACATGTATGTTGATCTCATAAATTAGTTATGGCTTGTGTGCAGATACTTGATTCTACAGAGAAGGCTGTTGAAAGTAGCTTGGCAAGCACTGGTCACGCGACTACACGGGCAGCAGGTATATACTCGAAGACGTCCAAGACTACTTGTTTCACATGGCTTCTGATGTTTGTCATGACATGTGTATTTATCATGGTGGTTCTTTTAATTCGCGTCACTTAAGGGTGTGTTGTGTTAGGAAGACTCATCTTTTGTCCCATAATTTCTAAGAAACTTTAATGAAAAGCTCCTGATAACGAAAAATCACATTCTTACACAAAAAAATCAATTTTGGTACTATTCACTTTACCTTTTATTTTGTCCTTATCATTAAAACTCAAAGTTTTCAAGTTAGTTTCATTAGTTTTCCTTAATTTCTATGTATATTTTGCAATGTTGAACAGCGACAGTCTACAAATTATGATAGATATAATTTCTCAGAGCATAGAAATGTTGTTCGATCACTAGAAATGGACAGGGAATGGATTCAAAAGTTAATGATACTGCAACGCTAGTTATCGAAACATTTCAAGGGACTGCAATGCAACTTTCATTGGTGCAGGTCCTGCTACTTATTGCAATTAGAATGAGCAAATATTGACTTACTACTGCAACTGTATTTGTGTGGCCTAGATCTTTATTTTGGGGGCCTTGTCTTCTCAAGCCACGTCTCGCACTCACCAAGATGCATCAATGTACGGAAAATATGAGCAATGAATGACTTGTTTTGGACGTGCATATACCGACATTAACGAGGAGGAGAAGCGTTTTAATATATTCAATATATTCAAGGAAAACGTGGAGTCTATAGAATCTTCCAATAGGGATGCAAACAAACGTTACAAGTTGAGCGTCAATCAATTTGCAGACCTTACAAATGAAGAATTCAAGGCCTCAAGAAATGGATTCATGGGGCACCAATGTTCCACAAAGACGACTTCTTTCAAATATGAAAAGGGATGTGCTATTCATATAAATTTTTACTTCTTACATATCCTTGTTAATTTTTATTCTTTGATATTTTTCAATTCATTCGATCTGACGGCCGAAAATTAGAAAGGTGTGGTGAAAAGTAAAAAAGGGGTGTGGATAGCACACCCCATATAAAAATGCTACAACAGCACCAACTGTAGATTGGAGAAAGAAGGGAGCCGTGACACCAATCAAGGACCAAGGCCAATGTGGTAATCAGTTTTATTTGTAGACAATCTTGGAGCTTAACCAAATGGTTTCTTGTACTCCAAATACGAATCTATGTCTGTTAAATTAACCACTATTTAATTTATACTACAAAAACAACATGATATTTAATTGTAATAAAATGCTTGCAGGATATTGGACTTTTTCAGCAGTGGCAGCCATGGAAGGAATTACTAAGCTTACAACTGGTAAATTAATGGCTTTGTCCAGGCAAGAGTTTGTCGATTGCCGCACAAGCGGTGTGGAACAAGGCTGTGAGGGTGGTTCTAGCCCTATTATTTTATTATTTGTATGGACGAAAAGTCGGCTGAATGCTTGTGTGTATCCTATCGAGATTTGTCGAGCGAGGATTACTTTATACATGCAAAGGATTTCTGAAAGGAATATGATTCTCTCTCCCTCCTAGTCTTTCTTTCCTTCTCTTTCCTCATATTTGAATGGTTACGGTTAAGTCACATTAACGTTTTGTGTTAATTTTTTAATAACCAAAAGAATAAAAAAAAGCAATTTGTGAGAGGAGGGGAGAGAATGGGATGGGAATAGGAAGAGAAATAATCTTATTCCTTTTTGAAATGTTTTATAAATGAGATCGATTGACTTTTTGATCACATACATTATATTATTGACACTCACACAAGCTTCATAGCTTATCCGGGTTTTCTTTTCCCGATACACCATTTCCATGGTGTAGATGGCATTTTTGTAGTTTGACATGTTTTGATAGGTACAAGGTGTCTTTAGCAGTAGTGATGGAGATTGAGCGCTTGGAGTGACTAGGTTCACCTTGTACCTTACAGTTACTTTGCAGACTTGTGTGTTGTATATAAGTGGAAGAGACCCCACCAGTATGTAAATTATATGTTAACTGCTATGTTGTATAAGTTGTACAATTACGTTCTAACGTCACGTGCTGATCTTGGACGTAGCTCGGGATCGGGGTGTGACAAGTTGAGTATAGAGAAATGGCTAAGGGACTTATAAAGTTATTTGGTTTAGAAGACTACTTACAAAACTTGGATTTGCTTGTAAGTTTGTGATGAATCTAGTTCAACATAATTGTACCAAACATGTTGAGCTAGAAAGATAATTTATTAAGGAGATCAATTGGCGGATATCTTGACAAATATAGTTTGGGTAAATCTCATTCGGCAAGTTGGGTAGTAGTGACATCTATGCACCATCTTGAGGGATGTTGATAATGTCAGCGCACTTGTAGGCTGTTGATTAATTGTTATTGTCACTGTTCTAAAAATTCCCGCCTAGCGCTGTTCAGGTGCTAGGCGGCTAGCCGTAGCCTTGATTAGTCTCTGGGGGTTTGAAAATTAAGAAAGTGCACCTAGACCCACTTAGGCGTCTGCCTAGCCCGCCTAAACCCACCTAGGTCTTGACTCTCACTTAGGCAGAAAATCGATAACCTTCATTTTGCATTTTAATTTTTCAATAAGATGTAAGAGACTTGTTGAATACTTTGATGAATACTCATTATATGCTTGTTTCCCATGATTTTAATATGGTCTAATACTTTATAATATATATATATATATATATCTCATTTTATTTTTGTAATTTATGTATACCAACATAATTATATGTGTTTTTTGAGCATAAATAGACACTTATTTATACAATATATAATAAACTTACTTAAATCCACCTAGTCCGCTTAGGCCCTCACCTAGTCCTCGCTTGGGCGCCTAGGCGCTAGGCGCTAGGCCCCAACCTGTCGCCTGACTAGCTTCTAGCGTCTTTTAGAACATTGGTTATTATTATAATTTGATGATATGTTTCCTATTTAAATTTATTTCATATTGTAATTAAAATTAGAATACGGAACATGTTGGAACCAAAGTTTTGCACCATTGTAGGTGGTTGAATTGTGCAAATTCGGCCACCTACAAACAAGAGCAAACAACTGCGAATAACCTTGGGTACCAACCAAAGGCTCTTCGACGGTCAAATTAGTATAAATATGATATAAAACTCAAGCAATGGGCTATTAAGCAAAGTATGCGTATGAAACCACTACCAGAGATATGCCTTAGAGGAGGGTATTTAAACTAGTCGGGAGAGAGTTCTTTTAGGATAATGATATCCATATTAAACCGAGAGAATTCCAAAGGATATCTAGCAAAGATATTGTTTTCTTGTAGGATTGTAGGAATCTCCAAGCTTATAGGAAACCAATCTAGTCCCCAGTTGGATCAAGTTTCCGTACCTTGAAGAGCAAGCATGGTCAATCTCAGCAAGGTCAAGGGACCTCGCTTACTATCAATAGAATGTGTGGCATCGTTTGTCCCCATTTAGGTAGCTTAGACCGATCAGACTCTTTGAGTCTGTGACTATTCCCCAGGTATTTGTAATCCGATCCGCCTTATTCCGTCCCAGTAAAATTCCTGGTCCCACATGACACAAACACATTTCGCTAAGCAAACCCTAATCTCTCTTTAGACTCATTTGGAATTGCTTATTTAAAAATAACTTTTGCTTTGAAACACATTTTAGTAAAATCTCTCCTGTAATAAGAACATTGAAATTTTTAATAAAAATGCAAGTACTCAAAAAATGCATTTGAAGTACCTTTTAAAAGAAGTACACAACATGTGCTTTTTCTAGAAAGAATTTCCTACTTTCTATGCTAAACATAATCAGGATTGTACTCTATATATTTATCTCCTAAAAAAGAAAAGAATTATATCATAAAATTCCACATAAACCTAATTTTAGCATCTCAGGCTTAATTGTAGAAGAAAAGTTGCTCAAAATTTCAAAATCGTATGAAAGGAGAGGTAAAAAAAACTAAAGGGAGAATGGTCTTCAATCCAAAAATACACAAAATAAAAAATTGTAGCCAATCGTAATTGAAATACAACATAAACATTTGCCATTTACAGCGATTTGTATTGTTGCTAATAACAATTGGGTTGCAAATAAAAGGATGAAGAGAAGAGATCATGTGTTGGAGAATTACAATCCGAAAATACAAAAATAATAAATAAAAGAAATATTTTCTCTTCCAAGAAGAACGCACTTCATATAATGTTAATTTCAAAAACTACGTACTAATAGAGCATAAATATCACAACCTTAACTGGTTCTGATCTTTTTGGCAGGAGTATTTGTACCAGTGATAACCATAAACAGTGATTCGAGATCGTCTGGAACCTTAAAAAAGCATTGTGATTGTGAACGCCATAACCTCCTAAAATTTCTTCTGGCAGCTTGGCGAGGTTTCTTGGGTGGTGGTGGACACACTAATGGTGGTTGCTTCGCCATCACGTGAGCAGCAGGTGACTTGGGTGTGTGGCATTCTTCTTCATGTTCCAAATGCAAAAGCTCCTCCGCTGCCGCTGCCTCCTCCTCCTCCTCCTCCTCCTCCTTTGTGTTGTTTAATGCTCGTGGAATAGGAATGACAACTCGCACTGGAGTTATTGGCTTGAATTGGTCTTCTGATATTTCAAGACCCATTTTTTCTTGGGACTCGGGAGTTAGAAAAGTTTTCTTGGCTGAAGCAATTAAGCTTGCTAGGTCGTGTAAATTAATAAATTGTCGCCAGAAAGGGAAAAAGAAGGCGTGCTGAGGAAATCGAGAGGGTGTTATGATGGAGGGTGCTGAAGGAGAGGCAGATATCAGCATGAGAGAGAGAGAGAGAGAGAGAGATGCGATGTGATTGAGGGTATACACACCACTACACACTAATATGTAAACAAGACTGCAGATGGGAATGATGAAAAAGTAGCAACCGAAAGTGTTGGAAGAGTGCGATGCAAGACAAGGAAATATTAAAGAAATAATAAATATTGGAGTGTTTTTCTTCCCACCCAGCAAATTTTGAACTTCTCATTTCGCCCCTCAGGTTGAAGCCTAAACCTAAACAAAAAAACAATATCAGATAAATATGCAGAACTGTCCACTGATACCCCAACTACTTCCTACCTCCGCCTCCTGCAGAACACTCTCTCTCCATAAACGAAATCGGACAATGTTTTAAATCAGTCATGCAACACCAAGAAAGTCAACGTGTGGCGTGGTGCAATTGTTTGGGAAACCGTCACATTGCCTTTGATGTTTTTCTCTCTCCTCAACGGCTCTCTATGTCAACATCTCGAAGAGCGAAAGAAAGAGAAATGGAGAACGACAGTTACAAGGGACGGGGAGGCGGTGAAAAAGGAGATGGGGGGCCAACATAACAGCTCCAACACTTTGCTTTTTCCTCTCTCTCTGGTCTTTGGTTTTTGTTTAAAGGGCAAACTGGGAACACTACAAAATTTGTTGGGTGGAAATTACTTTGCTGGGTTAGAATACAGGAGCACTCGTCAACTAATTGTGATCCAGTGGGTGAGTGAGTGACAAGACTTCCACTCATCACTCATGAATATCATGACATTTTAAGTTTTTGCTTTTTTCTGTCTCAACCATGTTGGCCTGCATGTTTAATTTTCACACTACAACTTTACTTTCAAGTTGTTTGTCGCTGCTGCACCTCATAAGTAGTGCTCCTCTTCCCTTAGCATGTAGATTTAATGTTTTACACCAATTGGCCATACTAATGGTAATTCTTAGAAAACAAATTAAATTAAGTACACCATTGTTCATGTATGTATTATATTACATGTTAGTGATTTATTTTACAAAGTTTGAGAAGGAGAAGTTCTTTTCGTCCCATGTGTGGATAAGTGCTTTACCACTAGGATATACAGACTAACAATTAAGTACAATAGATTAATTTGTTCTATGAAAGTAAGTCCATGAAAGAGTTTACTGATTTTATACTTATCCTTGTGTTAAGAATTTGATCTTGTGCAATGATGATGAACAGTTTGCTTAAGATCTAAAACTAATAGTAATATTAAGCTGCAGACTGCAGTGACAGGCAAAGTCTGCTGAAGTCACATGATCCACTCTTTATTGGATTGTATAATACGGTAAAGGTAAAAATAACAAACTGTGCGGCATCACATTCACATGTCCGTGCTGCTTGCTCCAGATCAAGCGCATGCATATATATATATATATATATATATATATTCATATGAAATATTCTACTATGAATCCGAGTATAAGATACTCTAAGCTTTTCGACTATTACATGATCTTGATTTTGGCATCTTTAATTAAAGATATGGTTAAAAAAACCTCAAGTATTCGATACTTTGGAGCACCATAAAATCTTTTCAAAACGTTGCTTAATCAAGAAAAATGAAAATGGAATTTGAAAACTGGCGAAGAAAAATCAAGTACAGACTGTATGGGGAACATTAGAAATTCAGGAACAAC